CGCTCTTCTCTTATCAGCCGGGTAGGAACCCATGAATCAAGGTTGGTTTTGGGGGGGAATTCCCTGCCTCCGGGGACCTGCAGCAAAACAGGAAATGGAGCGGCAATGTGTCAGAACTTCCAGGGGTCAGGGGTCAGGGGTGGGATGCTCCTGTCTGCCTGGTGGGGCTCTTTGTGGCCGCAGAAGGGCGGCAGAAGTCTAAGACGTTGTCTTGAGAATTAGTGGTTGGGCTCAGCACTGAGTAGGAACAGGAAGATGCCAAGGAGAGACACTTGCTCCATAAGGGGCAGCCCAGACAGGCCTCCTCCTCCCAAATGCGCATCATTCAATGGACCCTCAAGAGCTTTAGGAGAAAACAAACAAGGATCACCAGCAAGGAATTGTGGGAGTTGACGTCNAGTTTGCCCATACCTGGTGTTGAGAAAACTTGGAATGTTCCGACCCAGAGCTGTGGTGCCTTCCCAAACGACATTTGCCCTGACTACCTAGGATGTAGATACAGACATGAAAGGGGAATCCGAGGGTTTTAGTTGTGTGTTGTGAGAGGATCGTTTTGCACAGGAAAGCCTGGGAAATGAGCAGAGAATGGGGAAAGGAGCCAGGCGGGGATGCTGGGGATCCCGGGTGACGGAGCAGGAGAGGCAGCCCTCGCAACTCCCTTCTGCCTTCTCCTCCTCCCGCAGATCAAAGCCGAAGAGCCCACAGAGGTGCCTCCAGCTCCAGCCCCGGCTCCGGCCCCGGCCCCAGTCCAGCCGCCCCACCTGCCCCAGGCCCAGCTGATGTTAGCCGGCAGCCAGCTTGCGGGGGTAAGTGGAGCCCCATGCAGCAGCAATGGTGGCAGTGAGACTCAGCTCCTGAGCAAAGGCTCCCAGCCATTAGTCCTCTGGGGGCTTTGGACTCCCCCCCCTCCACCTGAGAGCCCTGCCCAGCTTGGCCAGCAGGAATTCCCAGAAGCAAGGTCCAAAACACCCGGAGGGCCAAAGGCTGGGGGACCCTGCTTGGGTGACACGGGCCAAGGCTTGTGATTCCAAGGCGACTTGTGCAAGGTTGTGTGGCGGAAGCACCACGACATTCTTCATCATTCAGGAGCAGCCTCTCGATTCCATAAACAGGGTGGCTTGGGTGGCTGGGTACCGTGATTGGTACCGTGATCGGTGGCTGCCGTGATCCGATCTAACCCTGAGACAAGATGAGAAAGGCAGGGCTCTGACTCTTCTTCAAGCCCCCGATTTAGAGTCTTTCTCACAAGCACCTGTGGATTGCTTTAATGTGGGTGAAATTATGTGGGTTGCATGTGAATGAATGAGAAGGGTCCCCCTCAGGGCTGGGAGTGGGCTTGCTTGGCTCCCTCTGTGCTTGCTGGGGGTGAGTGTGGCTGCAGCACCAGCTCACCTGCTTCTTCCTTCTCTCTTCTGCCTGGTTTGTGCCCTTCCTTCCTTCCT